CCAGCGGTGACGGTGGTCCCAGCTGCGGAGCTGGCGGAGGGCAGCAGCCCCCCGGAGCGGTCAGAGCCTGCGCCACGGCAAGGTGAGGTGGTGGTGGCCCCCGCAGGACCTAAGAGCCAGTGCCCGGCCGTTGGTGGAAGCATCCCTGCTGTCATTGTCACGGACCTGGGGGGCCCAGAGGAGGAGGCAGGCGCCGTGCCCCCCGGCAGTCTGCCTGTCCGGAAACTGTCATCGTCCTCGGCAGCAGCCCCCCGGAGCGGTCAGAGCCTGCGCCACGGCAAGGTGAGGTGGTGGTGGCCCCCGCAGGACCTAAGAGCCAGTGCCCGGCCGTTGGTGGAAGCATCCCTGCTGTCATTGTCACGGACCTGGGGGGCCCAGAGGAGGAGGCAGGCGCCGTGCCCCCCGGCAGTCTGCCTGTCCGGAAACTGTCATCGTCCTCAGCGTCTTCCACTGGCTTTCTGCCCTGCGTTCGTCCTGGGAGGAGTCCGAGGAGGACATCTCCAGTGACCCCGAGCGCACCCTGGACCAGACCCCGGCCTTCCTGCAGACCCTGGACCAGCAGAAGCCCCGAGTGGTGAGTCTTGCGCCAGGCCTGGGGAGGTGGGGTGAGCATTGGCAGCACACTCGCTCTGGGGCACAGCTGCGGCTGAAGGGCACAGGTCTGTTGCAGCAGAGGTCTGCAGAGAAACTTTCCATTTGCTCAGTGCTGCTTGCTTTCCCTCACATAAAAAGCTTTCAGACTTGAAACAGACGACCTAGTCTGAAAATCTAGTGCTCGCAGAAGAGAGCAGTGGTACCTGTTCCGCTGTGCATGGTACTGGCAGAGCTTCTCTGGTGCTGCAAGCTGCCTGCTGGCATGCTTGGAATGCATCCATGGACTGCATCCTTCTGCTGACCTGTGGTAATGAGTCTCAGCTTTCCCTCAGCACAGCTTCCCTGGGTGCTGGAGTTTTCCCATGATTTACATGAGCCTAAGGGAGAATTTATTTCCTACTTGGAGTTGAAACTGTGTGGGCCAGCTCTCTGTTGAAAATTATACTGATGCCCATCACCATAGTGTCTGTGTGTCTTTCACATGGAAGCAAAAATGTCTAGAATTTCTGGTAATTCCTCTCTTGAATAAAACTGTTTGCTTGTGGGGTATTTCAGGTAAGCATGTTTTTATTAGGCATTTATATGAAGTTCATTTGTTTCAGGATCTTTGTTGTGGGGCTGGCTGTGAGGCTTCAGGCAAGAGAAAGCATCAGTGTTGTATTACCCTTAGAGAAGAAAGATATCCTCAGAGAGGAGAGCTTTGAGGCATTCTCCAAAGGCATGAGACTGTCATGGAATTTTTTGTGTCACTAGGGGAGTTCGTTCCATGTCTGAGTTCCATGTCTGAGTGCCCCACACAGCGCGTGCTTTACTTTGAGCTTTACTTTGAGCTGTCGCCCCATTTATCCAGAGGGTTTTGAACCACTTTACTCCAGTGCAGGGCACCCATCATGAGATTCTCCAACCAGCATGTGGTCTCTCTCTCTCCTCCAACTCTGAGACTTTACCCTGATTTGGGCCCAGCACTGGAGCCTCCCATTGACAAACTCTGAAACATGCAGGGCAACCCAGTGGCTCCTTAGTTTTAAAGAGTTTGATAAAGGCCCATGAACTTCCAGTGATGTGCATCACTATGTTTAACTTCCCATAGACACATGACAGTGAAACTCTTGCTAAGCTCAATGACACAAGGAAAACTGCTGCAGGGAAATAGCTAAGTAAAGTGAAGGTATCAAACTCCGTAGTACTGAGACTGTGGTTTGTAAAACACTCAGCAGGCTGAAATAAATATATTTTCTTTTGTCCTTGTTTTGTCCCATTCCAAGAATTCAGGCTCAGTTCTGCTCAGGATGGAGCAGCAGTTGAGTAAAAGCACAGTTAATGAAGTTACAAGTCTGTGGCTCGTTGTGTTTGCAGACAGTTTTGTATTTTGGAGCTCTTGACTGATGAATCAGCTTGCTCCCTTTGGGAGCTGGTACAGTTCCTCTGCTGATTAAATTCTGCTGGTTTTGTGTGCATGAGCTGTAGTAATCTCTGTTCCATTCTCCATACTAATGACTGTTCCTAGTGCCATATCCCACTGATTTGTTGCTGAAAACAGTTCATTGATGAACAAAAGCATGCCTGATGCTCTTACGGGAAGCTTCTTGGAGCCTCAGGCTGACTCTGCACAACCTCATGTGGCCTCCAGTGAGCACAGCCAGGCCGGTGGCTCGGCAGTGAACAGACAAGGCTCATTTGTATTGCCAAAAGACCTGGATCAGAGCGAGCTCAGATCAGGTCTGAGATCAAGAGTAACTTTGCTGGGCTCAGTGGGACTACTCAAGCTAAATGAGATGAAGATCTGGTCCAAAATGTGTTAGGCAGCCTGAGGAGCTGCACTTGATTTTGTGTTTCAGTGCTGGAGGTGTCTCAGCAGGAGCAGCTGGGCTAATTGACAGTGATACTTTCCGCTGGGCTCCACAGGTCCCGTGCAGGGCTGATCACTGACTTTGGCAGGTTATAGTCAGCTTCTCAGCAGGAGTGTGTGCAAATGCCCAATTCAAAGCTGATTCATATAAATAACACCCAGCTTTGTGTACTGGTTGGCAATATCTTGTAAATCCATAATGACAGCAGAAGGCAGCTACCGAAGCAGTCTCAGGTTGCACACTCATTTGTTTTCATGAACTTACTGTTTCCTTTTAATGATGCACATGGTCTGGAAATGAGTTGCATAATGAGGGAGAATGTGTGAGAAGCTCTCTCCACAGCTTGTGCTTTTCTGTCAGATTCTGGGAGACCTTGTCCCACAGAAACCAACATGGTGCCTCTGGGTTGAGTAGATAAACACTGGGCAGGCAGGGCACTCTGCCTTTCTGCAGTGGGTGCTGCTGGCACAGAGGAGGGCTGTTGTACCTGGAGGAGAGGTGATGGAGAGCAACAGGACAGCAGTTCTTGCTGTGGATACAGTCTGTGAGGCACATCTCACATAGCATGTTTACAGATTTGATAAACAGCAGGCTTGCTTCTGCCCTTCCTTTCTGGAGGATGTCTGGCTTAGCAGATCTGTCAGGGATGTCCGGCTGTCTATTGTAGTTTCTCCTGACTTCCTGGGGAAACGGGCAGATCCTTCTCTCTGGCAGGGACTCGTCCTCCGTTTGTCCCACAGGTAGGAAACTTCATTTGCATTCGGGCCTGAAAATTGGACAGTAAGAAAATGGCGTTGCCTAGTGAAAAGGAGGGAGATATCACGGCCACATTTTTGGACACCATGACCTGAAGCAGCTCTGTGTCTGATACGGGCTCTGCCTCTGTTTATTGAAGCAGTTTGCTTGGTGCACTGCATGTCCCTGGAGTGCTCTGGTGCCCAGTGAGCTGTGCAGCACTGGGAACAGCATCCGTACCATGACGGTAGCAGATTTGTGAAGTGCAGTGACAGTAAGAGCAATGTGACGTTTTGCTGTTGTCTAATTGTGAGCCCACTTAAGGTCTGAGTAAACTTCCATGTAAGAGCTTTTGCAGCTGTGGCTTTCCCCGGGCTGTGGGCTGCTGCTGGAGAAACCCCACACTTGTTTATTGATATTTGCAAGGTTTCAAAGACGCTTGAGTGATTACACTTCTCGGACTGTGTGGGAGGGATGGGCTGTCCAGGAGACATGTTGGGATTGGGAGACTGTGGTTTGGCAATGCTGCAGGGCAGTGCTTACTGCACATGCCCTGCAACATCAACACAGGCAGTTTGGAGAAGGAGAAGGTGCCCCTCTTGCCTACCACCCAAGCCAGAAGGATGCAATGGCTGTTGGAAGATGTCTGTCTCCATCACAATGTGTCTCATGCTGAGGGAGGATTTCTCACCTCCTGGCTGATCACACAGGTTGGTTGTATAGGGGAGAGAGAAAGTGCTCCATATCCCAGGTTCTTAGTGGCACAGATAGCTGTAGATGGAAGCTCCTAAGGGGGTTTCATACCCAAAATAAGACACATTCTAGCTGTGACTCCCACTGACTTCCTGACTAGAAAAATACTAGTGTATGAATTTTGCTGTTTCTGGGGGACTCTATTGGCTCTTCCCAAGGGAGAGCTAATATCCAGGGTGTACTCAGCAGCAGGAGACTTGCTCCGGTCTTTGAAACTGGCTGTGCCTCTTCAGTGAAAGATATTGCGATGCTGGTCATAAGTGAGTCACTATCATTGGCCTGAATTCCTGAGTTTGTCAACTCCTCGGCAACTAGAGACAAAGAAACAGACAAGTGAGGGGAAAGACAGAAATTATGCAAGCACATACTATAGAAAAATGACATGTCAAGAGGGAAAAAACCTTTCATGCAACAGCGGTGAAGACACTGCAGTGTTCCTCTTCCTGGCTTTCCCACAGCCACCCTGGAAGCACAAGGACGTACAGCAGAATAGTAATCAAGCAACTCAGTACATTGTGAAACCTCTGCTTCTTTCAGGAGGCTGAGCAGCTTGTTCAGAATAAGAGACTCCTGTTAACCTGTGCAAAATGGCAAGAACTTTTGGAAAAAGCTGATGGCATTGCTGCTGGCAGGACATTTTTTAAATCGATTTATTTGTTTGGCTCACAATGGCTCTAACGCAGTTCTGAAAGGAGCCAAGTTTAGATAGGGTTAGTGTCAGCCAAGGGCCTGTGGGACCCTTGCTTATTTCTCTTTGACATATTCCAATGCATAAGTTGACAACAGTGTTCCTGATTTGTTCCTATAAAAATCAAACAAATTAAATACACTTTCATTCCCATTCCTAGCTGTCACTGTGATCAGGAAGTTTCCGTGTAACAGAAACCATGACCACATGGCTATGGTGATGCATGCAAGCCCCATGAATATATATCTTTTTCTGACTATGTTTATGTATTTTACTCCTTCCTCCCACTCTGTTTGTCTTGAAAGCTCCTAAGCTGATGGTCTTGTGAGTGGTATCGCTGATTTAGTATCAGTACAATGTCTAGCTCATTAGGGCCCTGCTGGCTTGCTCTGCAGAGCAGCTGTTCCTCTAGTAATGTGCATCATTGATTGGGGAAGGTGCTTAGCATGCCAGGTAAGCTGCCAAATGATAGAATCTCCTTCAGCCCTGCTGTAGGAAGAGTAGGGAGAAGAGGAGAATTAGATGGACATCTCTGTTTCCACTTTCAGAACACCACACTCAGCAGATGTGACTGCACAGCATGTTTTATGTTCTGGGATGAGCTAAGGACCTTCTGGTGCCCAGTGGGCTGGGCAGAGCTTCAGACTCTTTGTGGATGGAGGCTGTGCACTCTGGGGAGTTCACAAAGCAAGACTCTATTTGGTAGCTGATCTTCTGCCTACTCTCATGGCCTTCTCAGGGAATAAGCAGCTTTTTTATGTGCTCCCACCCACAGAGGCTAAGTGAAGATGCTGCTATAGCCCAATGAGAGACATATGGTGCTATTTCAAGTCCATTTTCATCAGCACTTTTAAGGTCATTGGGAAAGGTTTCTTCTCTGCTCACATTCTCCATGATTGACAGTGCAGGAATTACATGGCACATAGCAGATCCTTTTCGTAGAGGACTTACTCA